ACCTTTCTACCAGCTGCCAAATCACATGCCAATCAGATATTGGAATCAAAACTTTTGCAAGTCCTGACCAGCAAAAGGTAACAGCTACTCAGTAGATAACCTGCCTGGAGGAAGCAGCAGTTGTTGCTGAAAGAACATCCTGAGAATCCCAGAACTGTAGAGGACTAAAGTAAGTGTTATTTAGGGGATTGGTGGGGGGAGACATTTATGGGGGTGCGTGGTGATGGAAACAAGGGCAGCAGGACTGTTCCCAGCATCCACCCCCTGTCAGATGTCCAGTCCCTCAATCAGGCACTGATTTACCCTGATTAAGGACCTGTAGGAGTCAGCAAAAATCCCTGTCATTTAGAATATTGGACCAAAACCCTGGATTTTTAACAGAACTTTTAAAACAAAAAGAAAGGCAGCTGGGCTATGCTCTGGAATACACAACCATGGGGATAGCTGTCTGGAACCATGGTTCAGTTAGAAATCCTACTCACATCTCAGCCCTAAAGGAACAATGAACCAGACCTAAGACAACAACTTCAGACATTTTGGACTCTTCAGAGGTACCAAGGCATTCAACTTCAATTAATATTCATTCGCAGAAATACTGGACATTTCACTTAATCAAAACACATTTATACCCACTAAACTATCAGGAAGCCCACAAAGGGGACAACAGAAACACAATGGATAATACGGATTTGCGAGGTGATAATGGAGCACACAATCTGTGTAACTGCTGGCCTCTGATCTGGGAGAGAGAGCCATCCCCGCAGCTGCCAACAGAAGAGGGATCCCAGACAGTTACTCTCCCCGAGAACTATCTGCACAGCTATCTCCCAGAAACCTACCGACACGGGGCTATTCTGCACCAGGGAACCAGCGGCAACCGACCATCACCAGCAGATCTGACAACTGACAACCTCCGAAAACCACCGACATGACTGACAAGGCCTCAGACACATCCTGAGGTGAAAACCGGCTCATAAAACCACCACAAAGTAAGAAAACTCAAGTTGTCAAAACCAGACTGAATAACGTCCAAAGTCTTCAGTGAAGGAAGTAAGTTGGAACAGCCAGTTGTATTTCAAAATTGTGTTTATCTCCAGTGGTGACCCTATTTCCTCAAGACCCAAAGTATCCAACCGAGTTAGCAGGGAGGGGAAAGTGGGTTGGTGACAGTGTGGGCACCCCAAGGTCAGGAAATATGATTAACATGTCTGTGTTTGAAACTAATTTTTAGTTTCTAATAGTAATTAGCCTGTGTTAGGTTAATAACTGATAATATCAGTTTCACTGTTTTGGATTTGCCTTTTTATCTCTTGTATTTTATTCACCTTTGTTTTATTTCCCTATTTATTACTTTTGCTTCTTTTTATTTCTTGTGATATACTCACCTTTGCTTTTAATAAACACAGAGATTCTTTGCCCTGAAACACCTGTCTACTGCCTTCTTCACTTCACATTCCTAAATTAAGTCCAGTGTCGGAAGCAGGGGCCTGTGGTGATTCGAACCACCTAAAAATCCGCAAATTACTGATCGCAAACCAGAATCCCTACAGACCCAAATACACAACACCAGCTAACGTGATGCCCTCACAGTGTCACCTGTTGCCTAATGATGACAAGCCCACTTAGACCTAAGCCAATCGCTGCAGTGACAAACAGTGGCTGTTAAGTGATTGGCCTCTTAAGGGCCAAGTTAACAGTGGTATCGGTGGGTTGGCCATGCACCTTCTCAGTCTCGACCTAATTCTGTTGAAGGCAACGTATTTGGGTATCCCACCACCCTACTTTCCTGCATCCAGCTCACCACCTCCAGGAGCACAAGATTCTACCCAGAAAACTATTTGGGATTTTCATCTTCCTGAATTTCTCTCCTTTTACTGTTATCATTAGTCATTCTTTGGTTGTGATATAATAAATATCAAATAATAATGATTTTTAGTTCATTATCCTAATACTTTGGTTTTGTCAAGTTCTAGACATGCTTGGGCAGGGGGAGTAACATAAATGTAAGAAAGAGAGTAATCTTCCCAACCATCCTCCCAAGTTTGGGAAGAGTAAAAGTAAGTGCAAAATAGAATTTACCAAATATTCTTTAGAAACTGTAAGTCCTTTTAAGGACTGTGATGTAGCAAATGTTCATTTCTTGTTTAAGAAGTGGGAAAAACCAGAAAATTGTGGGTGTTCTACTGTCACTCATGGGTCTAACCTCATTAATCTATATTTTTTTCCCATTTTCGTGCTAACACGCTCATTAATCTCTAATATGGGATAAAGTTAGTGACAACTTGAGAGGTTTGGGCTAATCAGTAATAGTCAGCTGTTATGCTCCTTGAGGATATCTCCGAATTTATTTATTTATTTTGTTCACTCAAGGTGTGGGTGGTTGTTGTTGTTGTTGTTGTTGTTTTTGTGGGTATTGCTGGATCAGTCAGCATTTTTTGTCCATCCCTAATTGCCATTGAGAAGGTGGTAGTGAGTTTCTTCTTTAACTACCACAGACTATTAGGTTAAGTATGCCAAAAGTGCTGTTTGGGAGTGTTCCAAATTTTTGACCCGCTGGATGGAAGGAATAGTGATACATTTCCAAGTCAGGTTAGTGGGTGGCTTGGAGGCAAACTGAAGGCGATTGTGTTCTCATGCATCTTCTACCTTCGTCCTTCAAGATGGTAGAATTTGCAGGTTGGGAAGAGGCTGGCAAAGGATCCTCAGTAAATTGCTATAGTGCGTCTTGTATGTAGTATGTACTTCTGCCACCATGCATCAGTGGTGGACGGGTTGAATATTAATGTCTGGCTAAAAACCAGTATTTTTTTTTGTTTGAATTGGACAAAGCTTGAGGTCCCAGGTGATTTCTAGAAGAATGAAGCCATACAATTCTGTTGTTTTCAATAAACAAATTAAACTTTATATAACAAAGTTAATTAAGCATAATATAATTATGATATCCACAATAAACATGAGGTGAATGATTTAACAGAAACTGGACAAATACCCAATGGAGCTAATCAAATAGAAGATGTGGTCAAGACAGAGCACTCCAGGTCATCAAATCTCATAAAGCAAAGCATTGAGGAAAGTGGCAGAATGGGGAGATAATTAGGCAAGCTTACAATAAGGAGATATCTGCAATATTCCTGCCATTACAGCAACTAAAGCTTGGGTGGGAAGGCAAAAGCTTAATCTTCCCCTTCCACCACCAATTGAGGTTCTTAAGTAGTCAATTAATTACAACGTAATGGTAATTTCAAGCACTCATTATAATTCTCTTCCTAGCAGGCAAGTACAGTGGCACCCTTCCCAAGTGATAAAATGGAACTGGGATGGGAGTGTGCCTCAATTTGCCAGAATCAGTGTGACTAAGGGCATGACTAAGATTCAGGGGTGGCCATGAAAGCCACATTCTTGTAATAACACCAACCCCCCACTTCCACCCACCATACCTCACTCTATCACCTACACCATCTCATCACCACTCCCTCCCAAATCAGAGTGGCCTGTCCAATGCTCCTAAATTCCATGGTTACCATGCCAATAGCAGCCTTGGTCTCAGACGCAATGCTGACTGTGACTGCTGGCATCTGATTGACTGACAACTTCAGACAGGGCAAGATAATGCTGTCACAGGAAGTGATCAAACACAAAGTCAAGTGGGTGACCATCTTAGGTGGCTGACAAGTACAAAGTCCAGTGGGCTTTCCCATTTACAATGGTTGGGGGTATCCCACATTTTATGATGCCCGCCACCACTCTTGTGGGAAAATTGGAAAATTCTAGCCATTGTCTCCTTTACAAGAGATTTCAATTCTTTACTCTTGGAAGATCCAGCCTTCAAACTCCCTCAAAAGTCTCTCCATCATCGATTATCTCATTGACTGCTCATGTTAAGGTAGCTTAATCACTTCTCCTGACACTGCAGTCCCCTGAAGTTCCCAAAGATGCACTACAGCTCTAACTCCTAGACACAATGCCAGCTCTTTTATAGACAATGAAGCTGTCACTAAGCTGCCATTACCCCCTGTGATTTCTCCGAGCTCTCATATTTTTTAGCTGCATCAAGCATATACAATTTCTAGGCTTCTTTTATACCATCATCAACAGTGCTGAACTATAAATAGCTCCCAGTGTCTCTTCCTGCCCTAACTGAATCTGCTGACAACAACACGCATGTTGACTGAAGCCACTTCTTTGCTTTAGCACTCTCTCCAAGGTGCCACTATGTCTTCCAGCAAAAGCATCCCCCAATCAATCGAAACCAGAGAACCTTAAGACCCACCATCCTTAAGAAAATGTCGACTACACGGAACTAGTGGATTTTAGTGCCTTCAGAATTCACTGAACACATTAAAGCTAATTTACAGTAATTCACAAAACAAACCAGCTCTTCTACTTCGATTCAATGAAACAAATTGGGTAAGCTCTTAAACCAAAATGACTCCAAACTGTTAAGTATAATGTACATCATATGCTCCAAATGCACTTAACCCATGTTTCGCAGTAAAACTAATTTCTAAAACTAAAATTATAACACAAATAGTTATTTGCAACAATGTAAATGACTTTAAAGGGCTGGTTATTTTTCACCAATGGAGTTTTTGTGGAAATTACAGCATGGTTCCATGATAAATGCAATACAGCAACAGAATTTCACTTCAAAGTATTTCTTTCCAGTGCACATGCCTTAATATTCATTTTATTATTTAATTATTGGTAAATGTCTGCTGTAAGAAATATGCCCCTTTATTAAACTGCATTTACTTGTTCTACAATTTCTGATAACTTTCCATGCTTTACAGAAAGTCATTAAGTAGTCAAATGAAAATACAGCACGTCGTAACATCATTCTATGTCTATTAAGATACCCAGTTCTGAATTATATGTACGAAGCTAATTGAGCAATTTGCAGAGTCTATTTGAATTACTTCTTCCATTATTTCATGGTTTTGGTTGCTGCAAGTACAACATTCATTTAGCTGACTGAAGAAGGAGAAAAAGAATAAACTTACAGGTCCAAAAGCATTGCTGTCAAAGCTGTGTCCATGATGATCTCCTTCAATCCATAAATGGCCATTGGGAATCTTTATGAATCTATTCCTATATCCCATAGTTCTGTAAGACATTATGAACAAATTGTTATGCTTAAAAACGTATTTTAAATATTGCAGTGTTTCATTTTTGTAATAAACGTCATTGTAAGTTCTTCCTAACTTGCATCAGTAATATATCGACTGTTGAATAAGAACAAAATTTGTTTTAACAATACCATTGACTCATGCATTAAATTTGCCACATTAAACTTTTTCCTATTTGATGTAATGAAACTGTACATCTAATGTGCGTTCTCACCATCTAACTCCATGAAATTGCAAATTTGTGCCACATCTAAGAACATAACAAGAATAAGGCAGATTCTTGGAATGTATGATCCCCTCAGAAAATGAAATTAATCTAAGACAGGCATCAGAATATTTTAACCTTAACTGAATTCATCAGTTATGATATGAAATAAAGACAACCAGAGTTCTGCAATTGCATTTTGCAATGATGACCTTGGTCTTTGATTACTTAGCAATTGAGCTTTGTGACCTTCAATAAAAACAGCTTGCCGTAGCAATGTGATCCACCTTATCAACAAAGAACAGTGTATCCTCTGTCTTATCATAATTTACTTCATATTGTCTTATGTTATGCTGTGTTCATTTGATGAAGTTTAATTGGCAAACAAAACAAAATGTTACAGATTCACAGAGAGGTACAGCACAGAAACAGATCCCTTGGTCCAACTTGTCCATGCCAACCAGATTTCCTAAATAAATCTAGTCTTATTTGCCAGCATTTGGCTCATATCTCTCCAACCCTTCTTATTCATAGATCCATCCAGATGCCTTGTAAATGTTGTAATTGTATCAGCCTCCACCGCTTCCGCTGGCAGCTCATTCCATACACAAACCACCCTCTGCATGAAGAAGTTGTCCCTTAGATCCGTTTTAAATCTTTCCCCTCTCACCTTAAACCTACGCCCTCTAGTTTTGGATTCCTCCATCCCGGGGCAAAGACCTTGTCTATTTACCCAATCCATGCCCCTCATGATTTTATAAACATCTATAAGGTCACCCTTTAACCTTCAATGCTCCAGGGAAAATAACCCCAGCCTATTCAGCCTGTCCTGACAGCTCAAACCCTCCAGCCCTGGCAACATCCTTGTAACTCTTTTCTAAACCCTTTCAAGTTTCACAACCTCCTTCCTATACCTGGGAGACTAAAACTGCATGCAGTATTCCAAAGTGGCCTAACCAATGTCCTGTACAGCCACAACATGACCTCCCAACTGCTATACTCAAAGCATTGACCAATAAAGGCACGAATACAAAACACCGTCTTCACTATCCTGTCTACCTGCGACTCCACTTTCACAGAACAATGAACCTGCACCCCAAGGTCTCTTTGTTCAGCAATACTCCCCAGGACCTTACCATTAAGTATATAAGTCCTGCCCTGATATGCTTTTCAAAATACAGCACCTCACATTTATCTAAATTAAACTCCATCTGCCACCCCTTGGCCCGTTGGCCCATTGGCCCATTTGATCAAGATCCCGTTGTACTCTAGGTAACCTTCTTCACTGTCCACTACACCTCCAGTTTTGATGCCATCTGCAAACTTACTAACCATACCTCCTATGTTCACACCCAAATCATTTATATACATGAGGAAAAGCAATGGACCCAGCACTGATTCTTGTGGCACACCGCTGGTCACAGACCTCCAGTCTGAAAAGCAACCCTCCACCAACCCTCCACCTGTGTTCTACCTTTGAGCTACTTCTGTATCCAAATGGCTACTTCTCCCTGTATTCCATGTGATCTAACCTTGCTAATTAGACTACCATGAGGAACCTTGTCGAACACCTTATTGAAGTCCATACTGATCACATTCATCATTTTGCCCTCATCAATTGTCTTTGTTACTTCAAAAAACCCAATCAAGTTAGTGAGACATGATTTCCCATGCACAAAGCTTATGTTGGCTATCCCTATTCAGTCCTTATCTTTCCAAATACATGTAAATTTTTTCCCTCAGGATGCCCTCCAACAACTTGCCCACCACCGATGTCAGGCTCACTGGTCTGTAGTTCCCTGACTTTTCCTTACCACCTTTCTTAAAAAGTGGCACTACGTTAGCCAAACTCTAGTCTTCTGCACCTCACCTGTGGCTGTCGATTGTACTAATATCTCAGCAAGGGGCCCATCATCCCACAGAGTTGTGGGGTTCACCTGATCAGGTCCTGGGGATTTATCCACCTTAACGTATTTTAAGCCATCCAGCACTCTGTAGTATGGCCATTTTTCAAGATATCATTATATATTTCCCCACGTTCTATATCTTCCATATCCTTCTGCACAATAAACACTGATGCAAAATACTCGTTTAGTATCTGCCCTATCTCCTGCAGTTCCAAACATAGGTTGCCGTGCTATTCTTTAAGGGGCCCTGTTCCCTCCCTCGTTACTCTTTCTTCCTTAATGTATTTCTAGAATCCCTTTGGATTCTCCTTAACCCTATTTGCCAAAGCTATCTCGTGTCCCCTTTTTGCCCCCCTGATTTCCCTCTTAAGTGTACTCCTACTGCCTTTATACACTTCTAGGGATTCAGTCAATCTCTGCTGTCTATATCTGGCATATGCTTCCTTCTTTTTCTTGACCAAAACCTCAAATTTTCCAATTATCCAGCATTCCCTACACCTACCGGCCTTGCCCTTTACCTTAACAGGAACATAGTGTCTCTTGTTTCCTCATTTTCGAAGGCTTTCCATTTTCTAGCTGTCCCTTTACCTGCAAACATCTGCCCCCAATCAATTTTTGAACGTTCTTGCCTAAAACTGTCAAAATTAGCCTTCCTCCACTTTAGAACTTTAACTTGTCTATCCTTTTCCATCACTATTTTAAAACTATGAGAATTATGGTCACTGGCCCCAAAGTGCTCCCCCACTGACACCTCAGTCAGCTGCCTTGTCTTATTTCCAGTCAAGTTTTGTACCTTCTCGCTAGTAGGTACATCCACATACTGAATCAGAAATTTTTCTTGTACACAGTTAAAAAAATTCCTCTCTATCCAAGCCCTTAATGCTTTAGCAGGGCCAGTCTATGTTTGGAAAGTTAAAATCCCCCATCATAACCAACCTATTATTCTTACAGATAACTGAGATCTTGTTACAAATTTGTTTTTCAATTTCTCAATGACTGTTTGGGAATCAATAATACAATCCCAATAAGATGATCATCCCTTTCTTATTTCTACCCAAATAATTTCCTGGACATCTGCCCAGGAATATCCTCCCTAAGTACAGCTATAACGTTATCACTAATCAAAAATGCCACTCCCCCTCCTCTCTTGCCACCCCTTTCTATCCTTCCTATAGCATCTGTACACTGGAACATTAAGCTGCCAGTCCTGTCCATCCCTGAGCCGCATCTCTGTAATTGCACTGATATCCCAGCCCCATGTTTCCAACCATGCCCTGAATTCATCTGCCTTACCTGTTAGGACTCTTGCATTGAAATAAATGTACTTTAAGTTATCAGTCCTACCTCACTCTCTGCTTTGTTCCTGCCTACTCTGACTGTTTGACTTGTTCCTTTTCCCAACTGTACCAGTCTCTGACTGATCACTTTCCTCACCCTCTCCCTGGGTCCCCATCCCCAACCCCCACCCCCACCCCCACCCCGCGTCCCCCACCCCCACCCCCCACCCCCCCCCCTTAATGGTTTAAACCCCCTCGAGCAGCTCTAGCAAATCTCCCCGCCAGTATTAATCCTCTTCCAATTCAGGTGCAATCTGTCCTTCTTATATAGGTCACATCTCCCCTAAAAGGGATTCCAATGATCCAAAAATGTGAATCCTTCTCCCCTGCACCAGCTCCTCAGTCACGCATTCATCTGCTCTATCCTCCTATTCCCACTCTCACTGGCTCGTGGCACCGGGAGTAATCCAGATATTACTACCTTTTCAAGGACCTTTATTTTTGTGATAACATCAAAACCCTCTGCAGAAGGTGGAAAAATTAATGGTGTTTGTTGAAAGTTAGCTGCTCACATATTAAGATAAATGCCCAATTACAGCGATCTGGTGATTCAGTAGCTTTTGTTGGAGAAGAAAATGGTTCTGGAGAGTTTCTGTTCACATTGCACTGAGCTCACCCGATCTGATAACGTTTTGTGCAGTTTTGGTTGGAGACAGTGGAGTGAAGAGAGCAGCTGTATTTTGGTTTGCTCCTAAGACTGCTTAGTAATTAGGAGGGCCATCTTGTGGTGGAGTGGTCGAGTCCATACCCCTAAACAGAGAGGTCCGGATTCAAGTCCCACCTGCTCCAGAGGTGTGTAACAACATGTCTGAACAGGTTGATAAGAAAAATAGGTTAAATTAAAAAGAAATCCTGAGTAATTATACCCAGAAAGCTAATGTAAACTATACCGATTACTAAATAAAAACTGAAAGAACAAAAGGGTTCTGAGGAAGGGTCACGTGACCCAAAACATTAACTCTGATTTTTCTCCACAGATGCTGCCAGATCTGCTGAGCTTTTCCAGCAATTTCTATGTTTGTTTCTATAACAAGTTTACTACACAATAGTACTACCTTGTTATATAAGGCAAATGCCTCTTCTGTTTAGACACACCAATGGTCTATCCTCTACCACTGATAATTAGGCAGATCTTAGATTGAGCATAGATAAACAAGGATTGATGGCAGTGAACTGCCCTAACCAGAACACTATATGCTGGAACTGGTGGTATTTGAAAATACAACACTCCATGGGAATTAAGCAGTTTACCAGTTGTATCCTAAATGATTATAATTCTCAAGGAAGCTGAGAAGTCATGTCTGTCAAAGGACCCAGATATAATTATTGTTACAATCATTTCATATCTAAATTAGAAGATGGGGGCTGGAAGTGAACCAATTTTTTCTGAAGCTAAATTGATGCACAGTCATTAAATTTCACTGAAATTCATTCTGATTTCCTTTAATTTGACAATAAGGTCAGAAAACTACATCATGACTAGTTCTTGTGAATAAAATAGAGTTGCTGAATTCTATTCAGGTGGGTA